TTCAAGGAAACATTTTGGTTTGAACAGTTGAGAAGGTACTTCTTGAACTGGGTTAGCAGAAAGAAAGAAAAAGAGAAAAAGAAAAGAAAAGAAGGAAGGAAGGAAAGAAGGAGAGAAGGGAAAGGGGAAGGGGAAGGGAAAAGAAAAAGAGAAAAGAAGGAAGGAGGGAGGGAAGGAGGATATTATTTAAAATGACAATTCTGAGCTTTTTTGAATATCAAAACATTTAGTAGGAAGGAGACTCTGAGGATCATAACAACAAGAGAACGTAAGAACTGAGACTGTTCTGTGACAAGGGAATCAGAGTCAGAGAAGTCTGTCACAGGGAGTCAAACAATAAGTATTGCTGCAGGAAGGGCTGTGATAAATTGTTATAGACATCATAAAAAGATATACCACGTACAGTATTATGATACAATTTAAGATAATGCATAATATGTTACAGCAACTTGGCATAAGAAAGGAGTGAACTAATGCACTTAACAAAACCATGAGGCTTTATTGTAAGACCTATAACAAAGACACTTTGGGAGGCCAAGGCGGGCAAAGCACGAGGTCAGGAGATCGAGACCATCCTGGCTAACACAGTGAAACCCTGTCTCTACCAAAAATACAAACAATTAGCTGGGCATGGAAGCTCATTCTCGTAGCCCCAGCTACTCAGGAGGCTGAGGCAGGAGAATCGCTTGAACCCAGGAGGCAGAAGTTGCAGTGAGCCGAGATCACGCCACTGCAGTCCAGCCTGGCTGACACAGCGAGACGCCAACTCAAAAAAACCAAAAAAGAATTACAACAGAAAACAGTATATGTATGTGTATGTGCATGTCAAGTCATTTTACACATTATGTATAATTAAAAGATGTCATATATTATAATTTATTTCGAAAGCTCTTTAAATGTAAATAAAAATAGCATTGTAAAATAGATGTTTCAGCATCATCTGGTAGCATATGTTCTATTAGGTAGTTCTTTTTTATTTACTAATTACTGAGCAACATAGCAACCACAAGAAGCACAAAGCACAGTAAAGCACATCTTTTGTATCTGAGAGCTCACTGAGAGGCATTTCGCGAGACACTTTAAATAAATTACCTCGTTTTACTCAAAGGCACTGCTTTATAGTTTGTTTGTCTGTCTGTTTGTTTTTGACACAAAGTCTGGCTCTGTCACCCAGGCTGGAGTGCAGTGGTGCAATCTCCCTCACTTTAGCCTCTGCATCCCAGGTTCAAGCGATTCTCCCACCTCAGCCTCCAGAGTAGCTGGGATTACAGGTGCACACCACCACACCTGTGTGATTTTTGTATTTTTGGTAGAGATGTGGTTTCACCATGCTAGCTGGGCTGGTCCCCAACTCCTGAACTCAAGTGATCTGCCGCCTCAGCCTCCCAAAGGGCTGGGATAACAGGCATGAGTCACCACACCCAGACTGTAGTTTGTTTTTTAACTTTTTATTTTAAAACACAGTAGTCCCTCTTATCTAGAGTTTCACTTTCCAGAGTTTCAGCTACTTGAGGTCAACCTCGGTCCAAAACAATGAATGGAAAATTCCAGGAATAAATGAATCTTAAGTTGTAAATTGTGCCCAGCTCTGCGTAGCGTGATGAAATCTTGCGCCATCCTACTCCATCTGGCCTGGACATGAACCCTCCCTTTGTCCATCGAACCCACACTGTGTACACTACCTGCCCATTAGTCAGTCAACCATCTCGGTTACCAGATCCACTGTCATTATATGGAAGTACTTATGTTCAAGTAACCCTTGTTGGACTTAATAATGGCGCCCAAGTGCAAGAATAGTGATGCTGGAGATTCTGATATGCCAAAAGAAGTCATAAGGTCAAAAGGTGAAAGTTCTCAATAAGGAAAGAAAAAATACGCTGAGGTTGCTAAGATCTATGGTGAGAATGAATCTTCTATCCATGGAACTAAAGAAGAAAAAAAATAGCGCATAGTGTACATAGAGTTCAGTACTATCTGGAATTTCAGGCATCCACTGGGGAGGTCTTGGAACTTATCCCTTGTAGAAAGGAGGGACTACTGTGTACATATTCTGGTTCTGATTTGTCATTCAGTGTGCCTACGCCATACAAATCCTAAATCCACTAAAATTCTTACAGTCACTAATTCATTTAATTCACGCATTCATTCAACAAACATATATCATTCGTCTACAGATCTCCTTTTATCTATTCATTAATTGAGGAAAAATATGGAGGAAGGAAAGAAGAGCAACCTTTCTTCCACCTACCTCCAGCGCGCTAGGGCTCTTGCTGGGCACAAGAACAGAAAAGAGCCTATGAGTGGGGTTGGGGCAAGATGAGCTCAGAAATCAATTACAGTATTATTTGGTGAATATTCCAGCAGAGGAACAGGCGGTGCACCCTGGGAGCTCAGCAGAGGAACAGGCGGTGCACCCTGGGAGCTCAGCAGATGGAACCAGTAGCTCTGTCAAGGGGAGGCAGGGAAGGTGTCTCTAAGCGGGAGCATGGGAGCTTTTATCCAGGTTCAGAAGTGAGGAAACGACACCACAAGGAGAAGAATCATACATACAAAGTCTAGCATTATGGGAGACCACAGTGTGCACCACGAGTGGGACCCTTTGCCGGTGTTGGAAATGTAAGCCACGTATGGACTCTGATGGGACTTAAAGCCAGGAAGATGGAAGCCTGAAGCCGAGGAGCTGGTTAACCAAGGAAAGAACTCAGACTCAATTTCACAGGTCATTTTATATCGTGTTTCTAAAGAAGATGCTGAAGCACACTCCATTTTATTAGCATTAGACGTAATTATTTAAATATAACTTGTTCGAAATTAGCTGTTTAATTTAAAAAACATAATTAATTGAAGCAATGTTTTAAATAATAATATTTGACATCTATTAATGAGGATATAATTAGATGTGCTATTAAAAACTTAGTGCAATACCAATATTTTCTCATAAAGCAAAGTGAAGAATACTAACTACCAAGCCACTCTGCAACGTCTCTAAATTCATTTCAGAATCCACATCTCTGGCAAGAATCACCCAAATTCTAAAAATCTGTTTGAAATTACTCCACATACATTTATATAACCATTAGAAAAATCTAGTACTATTTTCATTGGATATGCATTTTTTAAAATAGAAAAGATTTCCATTAGGTTCCTGTCTTTTTTTTTTTTTTTTTTTTTTTTTTTCAAATCAAGACCTCACTCTCCTCTCAGACTTAGGAGGATTTGGAGAAAATTCCTCCAGAGGGTTGTCATTTAACTACAGAATATCAGGAAGCGTCCAGACAAGATTTACCCTAACAGAGTTGGCCTTGAATTGATCCAGAAGAATAACGCCAATTCAACTCCTTGGAGCACTTAGTAGGTGCAAATCATCCTATTGACCACTTTACATGCATTTTACTTTCATTTTCAGACAAGCCCCATGAGTTAACTATTATTAATATGTCTATTTTTGATATGAAAAAAAGCGAAGCTTAGAAAAGTAGGTGATTTGTCTAAGGTCACTCAACTCAAAATTAGTAGTGTCATAACCAACTCTCAGACTTTGTAGACAATGGCTTCCTGGGAGAAATCTTGTAGTGACTTCAGAGAGGATACAGTTCAATTGATATTACAAGAGGCATAACGTGTAGATAAGGGACATTTTACTATTTGATTTGAACATTACATTTCAGTGGTAAATATCTGATCTTCACTGTTGGTTACCCAGCAAATAACATTGATGGGAAATGAGATACCACCCTGCCTATTTAATTCTGGGGAGCCCATTAGGAAACAGAGTACAGCAAGTTCTTCTCAAAAAACCATTGTCATGAGAGGCCAACACAGACTCAAGAGCTAGGTAGCAGTGTCATGGTGACTGAGAATTTTTGTTGGTCAAGAGAGGTGAGATATTGGCAATTTCACAGTTTCTCATTTAATACAACTAGATCTTCTTATTGAAAGGTAACTGATCTGCTCTGGATCTGTGTCCCCACCAAATCTCATGTTCAGTTATAACCTCCAAGGTTGGAAGTGGGGCTGGTGGGAGGCGACTGGATAGTGGGGGCAGTTTCTCTTGATTTAGCACCATCGCCCTTTGATACTGTATAGTGAGTGAGTTCTCATGAGATCTGCTTACTTAAAAGTAGGTAAGCCTATCCCACATGATGAAACCTTGTCTCTACTAAAAATACAAAAGTCAGTCGGGCGTGGTGGCGCACAGCTGTGATCCCAGCTACTCGGGAGGCTGATGCGGGAGAATTGCATGAACCCAGGAGGCGGAGGTTGCAGTGGGCTGAGAGCAGACCACTGCACTCCAGCCTGGGTGACGAAGTGAGGTTCTATCTCAAACAAACAAACAAATAAATAAATAGGTATGTAGCCCCTCCCTCCCATCTTCCTCCTCCTCTGGCCAGGTAAAGGTGTTCATTTATAGCAGTACAAGACAGACTAATATAGCAGCTCTGGCACGGCGTATGCAATAAAGTAGAGGAAATGGAAAAAGAAACCAAGTTAGAATTTTTGTGCTTATAAAGGCAAGGAGGAATGACTGTTTTCATAAAAGCAGCTTTTATAAGGAGAGGTTGAATAGGTTCCTGAACCATTTCCAAACTAAAACGACAGATTATCAAGTGGACATGAGAGGCGAGAACGTGACAATCACATTCCCCAGCAAGAGGATGCTGGGGTTTGCAGTATAAGACACAGAGCATTCCATGAGGTTTGGTTTTTTCCAATGTCAAGACTTTTGAAAATAGAAGAGTTCCTTCATATTTCTATAGACTTTATTCTATATGCCACAATTGGGTCCATGCTAATTTGAAAACATGCATTTCTGTTTTAAAAACAAACGCTCAAAAAACAAGTGACAAAACCTAGACTCCTAATGTTGCAAAATGGAACTTAGCCCGTCTGGTAAGGGAGGAAGTGAGATGAGAACTGCCCGCCATGCACCCTAACTGTCCCCCATCTCATCAGTGTGGGGTGCCGTTCCACCGCTATGCAGATACTGAGCTAGCACTTACCAGAAGCCAGGCTCAGGGCTAGATGTGCAGCTGAAGAACACCATGTCTCTCCCTCCTCCAGCCCTCCTAGGAGACGAGGTGGTCTGTTCAATGCGAATCTACAGTAAGAACCACATCAGTTGTAATAGAGAAGTAAAGACCAGGGTTGAAGGAGAAGAGTTAAGGGCTCTTATCTAGTGTGTTTTGATGTCTCTATACACACACACAGAGGTACACGCACACATGTACACCCACATACATATGCACACACACACATACCCTGCAATGCATATACAAAAGCAGATATGCACACACATACAGACTCACATCCACACCCACACTCACATCCAATACATGCATACACACATGCACACAATTTATAACTGCACACACACAAGTGCATGTGCACACGTGTATGCACACATAGTCACTGCCACATACACATACCGCCTCTGCGCATGCACAGACACACAGGACCCATCCCAAGCTCACGTCCTCTCAGTGGGAACCTTCTCACTGCTACTGAGACTCAAAGAACATTTTCTTTCTGTCAGCCTTCCCCCGCCCTCCTGACATAAACAATTATTACTAAACTTCTCTGTCCTCTGCTCCATGCCTGGGACGTTCAGAAGTTTGCTTCTTGTTTCCCCTTTTCTCCTGATGATTTTATCAACAGTTATGAAGAGCATTTCAAATGAATCGTAGTTCCCGGTGACGGGTCTGCAACTCTGAAGCTACCAGTCCTATAAATGAGCTAATTTCTTACTTTATCACTGATATAATTTTATAGTGTTCTTTTCGAATGCATTTAGGTCAAGGAAAGCCTTTGTTGCTACCTACAGCTGAGATTCAGCAGGCTCTGAGATTCCATTGTCTGCTCGTAGTGAAAAGAAAACAAAAAAGGAAAAATGTAAATGTCTTCCCTGGGTTTCTTCTCTGACAGGTGCTCTTGCTGAGGAACGCTCTAGTGATCCATCACTTAACATGACTCCACTAGTCTCAGACCAAGGTTAACACGTTGCTTCTCTTTCCCTTTTAAGCATCTCCTGTATCTGCCGTTTGTTTTCCATTACCTGGCCTCCCAGACTTTTGCCCAAGGAAACTGAAGTTTCTCCTGGTGGGGCCCATGGGTATTCTGGCAACATCCCCCCTAGTGGCAAAAGACGATGTGGCTGCTGCCCAGAGCCCTGGCACGGCGCCTGTGGCCACCTCTGACAAACACCCACAAACACGCAGCAGAGCTAAATTAAGAGCCACTTCGTGAGCGTTCCTGGCAGGGATGAGCAACACTCTCTGCCTCCTTCAGAAAAGAGTTTTCTGGAACATTGAGCCAAAGGAAAGGTGTAATTTATTGTGGGGATTGCAAATTACATAATTAGTTTTCAGGAGATCCTTGGGTAATTACAATCTGTAACATTTGTAACTGATTTGGCCAGATTAAAAGTGGATGCCTTGGTGCATCTGTGAACTAGCAAGAGGCCAGGGAGGAGTGGGAGGGGGAAACGCCGCTCCGAAGGAGACTAAGCAACGTGGATGCAGGCCAAGCCCCAGATGACACCCTTTCTGAAGCCAACGCGACAGCAGGCCTCTAAGATGCACACTCAGCAGGTAAGTTACTTCCCAAAAAAAGACCATGTGGGGTGGCCCGACGCCTCCTGAGCGGCTCTTTAACTGTCAGAGAAGCTCCTGCCCCAGAGGCTGCTGAAGTCAGACACTTACCTTAGCCCTGGGTCTGTCAGCTACATTGGTGTAAATGAAAATCAGTCACTTTGCAAAACAGGAGGAAGGAGCCCTTCTCTTGGAAGAGATGAGGGCCAGAGGATGAAGGGGGCAGGAGTGTAGAAAGGAAGCTTCCACCCGCCAGACATCCTCTTGGGCGGAACGCTTTCAGACCCGAACGCTACGAAAGGTCTTCTGCCTTCTGGAACCATCCCTGAAAGGCTCTGAGGCCCCTCTCGGTCTGACTCAGGCTCCTGCCAGGGCTCCTTTGTTCTCCTGTCACAATCAGGTGTGTTGTGAACACCCGATTGTTCACAACAGGTGTTCGCAACAGCGGCTCTCGCTTCAGGCAGGAGCCAGCTGCTGAAGGTTCTTGCACTCAGCCCCATCCCAGGGGCTGTTCCTCCAACACTGAGAGCTCCAAACACAGGGAAGGAGGTGCTCCTGAAACACAGCTGCTGTGGGGGTTATGGGGGGGAAAGACCAGGCATTCAGGAAAAGGAGTAGAATATCCCAGCTAAGCAGGCTTATTAGCGAACATGGGCTGAGCACCTACGGCCTAGAAGGCACGGTGGGAAATCTACACACTCAAAGTTTGTGGAAAACTACAAACTCAGGAAGAGCCTAAGTCCAGTAGAGAACAGATGTACAGAGCAGATGATGACATTACAATGTGGCGGGCAAGTGCTTTACAAGAAAAGCAGAAAGGGATTGAAGATAGAGAAGAGAGAAACAAAAAAAGGAGCAGGGAAAGAAAAGCAAAGGAGAAAGGAGGAAAATAGAAGTATTGAGGAGCAACGGCACTGGGCGGTGAATAAGAGGCCTGATGGCTAGGAGGGAGGGCCTTAGGGAGAAAAGAGTGTTTTTCTCCAGAACGGGTGTAAGCCAATTACATTCTGCAAGACAAATCTGGCTCAGTGCCTGTTTTTGTAAATAAAGGTTTTCTTTTGGGATGCAGCCAGGCCCATTGTTCATGTATTGTCTGTGGCTGCTTTTGTGCTACGGGGGCAGGGTTGAATGATAGCAAGACAGAGCCTATGACCTGCAAAGTTTAAAATATTTACTGCTCTTTGCAGGAGAACTTTGTCAAGCCCAGCTCAGGAAAAAAACTCTAATCACAAAATCATACCACAGGCATAAATGCATGTCTTCTGCTGGATGTGGTGGCTCACACCTGTAATCCCAGCACTTTGGGAGGCTGGGACGGGTGGATCACAAGGTCGGGAGTTAGAGACCAGCCTGATCAAGATGGTGAAACCCTGTCTCTACTAAAAATACAAAAATTAGCTGGGTGTGGTGGC